ACTCACTACCTAGTCCATGTTTCTCTTAATGTCAATTTATATAACCCTGCTACAACCATATTAACTATTCAGGGCGATGTTGTGTCCTGCATTTTGTGCAGGCACTCAATGTCTTTCTCAACAGTCTCAGAACTCTGCTAAGCTTCATTGCTCTTCAAATCTGAGTCAGGAAAAATATTCAGGGAGTGTTGCTCACTTAGCAGTCCTGGTGGTTCAGGGGCCAGTGGTGTGAACCCACTAACTGCTCCAAAGGAGAAAGAAGAGGCAGTCTATTTCCATAAAGGTTACAGCCTTGGAAACCCTATGAGGCAGTTCCATGCCGCCCTGCATGACTACTATGAGTAGGGATTGATTCAGTGGCAATGAGCTATTCACTTGCTTTTCTAATGCTGATCCCAATAAACAATAACTATTTGTCTAATCCCAAAGACCTACATGAAATGGTTCTACTGGTACTATCTCTTGTCTCTGCTGTTGCTAGTCCTAACTTCCTTCTTTCTCTGCTTCTAGGAATGGGAAGGAAGAAACAAGCATGCAAACACATGCCAAAACCCTGAAGCTAGAAACCAAACATGACATATTCAATGACTCTTGCCATAACTCTCCCAGATAATGATATTAAGGTTGGAGAGGACTTTACAGATCACTTGCCTCAATCCCATGTCATATTCCTAATGTTAAAGATAAAAATTTCCATTTAAAACCCATGTTTGAAAGCCATGTCATAACTTCTCATTTCTTTGCATCTGCATTTAAAGCTCTTCACTTAAAAATTCTTTTTATATATATTCAAAATACCAGAAACGTCTACAGTGCTGTATAGCTGAAAGGGAAATTCTGGGGATGCATCTGTGAGAGCTATGGCAGATGGGCCTAATGATGAAAGGGCTTGGACCCATGCACATAATACACATTTCATATAGAAGTCTGTGAAGTACCTTAGCACCAGCTTCCCTCTTTGCCTTCTCTCTCATTCCCTCCTGAGGCCTCATCTAGGTATAGAAACTCTTCTTTTGATTCTTCAAAATAACTTTCATTTGGCTCACTCTGAAACTTCTTCAGAGTCCAGAATTTCTGTTCTTTCATGTGTTCATATAGCTTGTGTGAATTTAGCACTTTTAAACTCTGCTTTATAATTGTCTGGTTATTTGTGTGTCTCTCCATCAATGAGAAAAACAAAGTCATTATAAGGATGATGGGACCAAGGGATTTGATACCGGAATTAAATTTAAAGGACCTGGGAAAATAAAGATCTGGAAAAGGGAATTGGAATGTTAGAGTAATAGTCACTTGACCAGGCTGTTGGAGGCATTGGTGTGGGCAGACAAGTCAAAGCTCGCAGGGAAATTTGAGGATCTGAGCACTCTCAGCTGCGGAAAGGGAACCATGCAGAGGGAATTTGATGGGAAAAACCTAAGCTAATTGGTGCATGTGAAAAATTGTGCTTCTGTGAAGCTCCTGACTCTGTGGGTTTGCAACCACATGGAGGTGGGCCTGGGTCTATGCTGGTCAGCAGGACCCACAGCTGGGGAGATGCTGAATGGAAAAGAGTAAGGGCAAGTTGGGACCTGCTTGGTACCTCTGGGTACCTCATCACTGAGACTGACCATGATGATCTTCCAAGAGTAATCGTTTGTGCTTCACATCTACTTTCCTCTGTTGGCCACTCTAACCTGGAACCAAATAGGAAAGGGGTTCTGGGAAATGAGAACCCAGCATTAGCAAAGTTGCCAAAATAAGAGTTATTTCATGCTCACGATGTGCTCTGAGAATGTAGCAGAATTTATAATACACAGACCCCAAGCCCAAACCAAACCCATTGCCATTGAGTAAAATTCGACTTAGAGTGACCCTACAGAGGGTTTCTGTGATGGTAACTCTTGAAGGGAGCAGACAGCATCTTTCTCTTGCGAAGCTGGTAGGTTTAAACCACTGACCTTGTGATTATCAGCTCAAAGATTATTCCACAGTGCCACCAGGGGTCCTTGGTACATTGTTATTATTAAAGAGCTATCAGGTTGGTTCCTACTCATAGCTACCTTGCATAGTTTTCAAGGAGTGGCTGGTGGGTTTGAACAGCTGACCTTGTGGTTAGCAGTGTAGTGCTCATCTTAGAGTGCCACGCCAGGGCCCTTTCTCCTTGGTACAAGGACAGTACTTAATAAATATTTAATAAATGAAAGGAGAAATGGCAAGATCACTCATTTACTGGGGATGAAGACAAGTAAACAAAATGGGTTCCTGAAATATATAATTGACCATAACCAGGTCCTCTAAATTAAACACTTATACAGTGCTGCTATTGTATTGATAGATGGATGAATAAGGGAAGACTCAGATCATTCATTAATGTCTCTTCGTTGTTATACTTGCTGTTGATTTGATTTGAAATGTTCTAAAACCCCTTAATTTGTTCCTCTACTTAAATACTTGAGACCTCCTCACATCCTGTAGGTATATTCCCAGACACTAGACCGAGTGATCATTTAGAAAGAATCCTCTCCCTCCTTTACTCTAAGCCTTGCAAAGGGCTCTAGAGCTTTATTCACTGGCTGCTAGCCATGGCAGCCTTGTTATTTATAAATCATGCCAAGCACACTTTTGTATCAGGTCCTTTGCACTCACTGTTTTCTCTGTAGAATGCTTCTCTCACATAACGACCAAGGTTACCACCTTCATTGCTATCAGATCTCTTGGTTCACCTTTTCAGACTTTCTGACTATTCTACCTCTGTATCTAAAATAGAGTTCTTATCTCTCTCTGTTCTCTTGCCTAGCTCTAGTATACTTATAACTGATGGAATACAATATTTAAAAATCTGTATTCTCCACTAAAATATACCTAAGTTCCAGGAGTCCATATACTTTGGTTTATTGAATCCAAAACAATTAGAGCAGTATCTGGGATACAGAAAGGGCTTACATTATAAGTTAGATGATGTATATTTTGTTCACTTATACATTGTTGTGATACTCCACTATGTGACCTATTTTAATTCCAAAAGGTACAGAGATGAGAAAGTGACAATTTCCACCTCCCAAATGCTCTTGATTTAAAAGAAGAGACATATATGTACACAAATAATTACAATTCAAGGCACAAAGACCTCATCTGTACAGCTGAGGATTGTTAGGAAAAACTAGAGAAATTTCTAAGTGTAAAAAGAATGAATACAGGTTTATCAGGCAGGTGGCAAGCAGAGTGGGGTAGGCAGAGGCATGAAATAGCAAGAGTCTTGGTGTGTGGCGCTGCAAGTTAATGCGCTGGACTGCAAAGTTGATTTGAAGCACAAGGTCGGTGGTTCATGCTCACCAGTCACTCCTCGGAAACCCTATACACGGTCGCTACGAGTTGGAACTGACTCGACCGCAGTTAACAACAATATGGAAACTATAAATAGTTTGGTATATTGTAGTAAGCAGTGTGGTGGGAAAGATAGAAGGAACCAGAATATGAAGAGTCTTATATGTTACACTAAGGATTACAAATTTTCTCTAATAGCCAAAAGGGAAGACGTGGAAACTTTTCAGAGGTGATCAGTGCAGTAATTTTTACTCTGACAATTCCACTCAGAGTTTAGTTATGCCTGTCTAACAGACTTTGGCTGTCAGAGTCAATAATAAGCTCACTTTGAAACAGTCCAGATTAGGGATGATGAAAGTCTGGCATAGGACTAGTTACGGACAAATGAAAAGTCTGTCTGAAGTGATCATAATTCTACATAGGTTTTAAAGGTCATACAACTTTTGACTTTGCTTCCATATTTTGAACAGCAAATTTTAAGATAAATCTAGTTATAAATCTGGTTTATAAGGTAGCTATTCCTATTGGGAAAAGAACATACTCATCAGGCAACTTTAGTGATCCATTTGGGATTGCAGTTTATTTTTCACATTCACTATTCGATCCCTTGTGAGTTTTGCTAGTGTAGCCAATGTTTTAGAGATAATCACCCCGGGATAGACTGATAACAGTTTCTGAACATGCAGAGTTGAGAACAAGACCCTTGGTAACATATTCAGAGTTCAGAGACCCTGCAAGGTCTAAAACAAGTATTTACTATCTATACAGAATATTATTCATTATAAACTTTGTATACCATTGTACAAAAATGTCATTGAATTTATTAGGAATCTCAGAAAAACAAAGCTTCACAACTATAACTAATACATAACTTGAATAGCAAAATATGTAGTCTTTTATTTTCAAATATAGTGAATATATACCCAGGAGCATGCTAAAAGCAATGAAGTATTCCCATTCATTAAAAATGTAGTTATCAATAAAAACATAATAAAGTATAATTTATAGCATAAATATATATGAGTTGATTTATATCTATTACCTATGCTAAAATTTACCTTTATTTTATGGTTAAGTACAATGCTTTAAAGTACTGACAAATACAGAAATCTATATTTACAGGAGACTCTCAAAAATAGTGATTCCATTTAATAGATAACATGTTATACTTCATCAGTATTTTCTCTGCAATCTGGAGCCAGCATCAAGAGAAAGACCGGCCTGTGGTTGACTGTTCTGTAACATAATTGAAAAACATTATTTTACTGTAGTGTTCATAGACTATAACTGGTAGCTATCCTTATAAACTATGCATTTTAATAAAACTAAATTTAATTCAAATTCTCAGACAAGGGATAGGTAAAAAAAAAAAAGTACTGCCACAAAAACCTACAAACCTTTGTTAAATGAAAATATCAAACTGTGAACCTATTGTATTTCTTGACATACCCTCCCCACCAAGGGCTATACACTTCTGAAGGCAGTATCTCCATCACTACAACCCTTCCCTAAACAATTCTGTCTTCGATTCACACCAGGACAAAACAGTGGTTTGGGCATCCTTGAGGGGCTCAAACTGTGTTCCTTTGAAATGGTCTATGAATTTTGTGAATAAAAATAAATCTGAAGGGTTAACATCAGGATTACAGATGGATAGGGCAAGGGTTTCCAACAAAATTTTCATAGGGTAGCCCTTGCTACCCTTGAGGATTGAACATTCCCTGGTGCAGTTTTCCTGGACTTTTCTTCACCAATGCAGTTTTCAGTTTTCTTAAAACATTTCCCCAAAAAGCTTCTGTGACCATGCTGTGTCCTTTAAGAAAACCTATCCCAATGATAACTTTGGGATCTTCAAAAACAGTTGTCATAACCTTCTGAATGGACTTCTCTGACTTGTATTGAACTGGCTTAGCAGATCCCATTAGAAGCCTCTGTTTTTAAAAAAATATTTTTTTAAGTTTTTATTGTGTATGATGTGATAGTTTACATGGGAGAACATTAGCTTTATATTCATCCTACCATATTTCTTTTTATTGCAATGATTACAATCCCCTCCATGCATCATCAAACAACCAAAGGGTACACCCGGCAAGCCTGCCTCCTGGCTGTCAGCCCACAGCCCCTCTCCCTCACTGAGTCCACAGTCCCTAGCCACTCCATCTCTCCATTGTCATCGTCTCTGCCTCCATTTCTGGTGTCACTGCTTCTCTGGGTAGGGTGTCGCACTCCGCTCTTCTCCCTTGATGGTCCCAGGAATCTCTGCTCCTGGACTGCAAAGTCAATCACTCACCTCCTTTTGCTACAAAATGTCTACCTTTACATTTCTGACCCTCACAGTCAGTCCTGATAGCAATTATTCATTATTGTACCACAAGAGTCTTATCCCCTTCTCCTTTCATCAGCCCCTTCTTAACAGATTGGAAACCATTCAGTGGTTTCCAGACCTTCCCCCGCCCTGTCTGGAACTAGGCTCCCTCTTGAAAGCTTGTAAGCTAGTCACTTCTTGCCTTTGTAGCCCCTCCCCCTCATTTTTGGTAACCAATGTCTAAGTTGTCCATCCTTGTCAACCCTGTGTACTGAGAGAGGGAAGCCTCTGTTTTGATTGCATCTTTTTTTCCCCCCTGAAGGCACCCTAATAAGACAAAGACAAGTGTGAGAACTTGTCTATAGCTATCAACTGATCACAAAAACATGCTTTACAAATTTTATTTGGAATAAGCCCATACGTATATGAACTAGAAGTAGCAATAGTTTTTGACTTATCTTTGGATATATATATATATCAACCTTCAATAAAACTTACTATCACTATATATAAGGCATCATACTAATTATAATAATATGTAATTATCACTTTTGACTAATGGTAAGATGTGCTTGTTGCTGTTCAGTGCTTTCTGACTAATAGTAACCCTCTACAGGGGTTCTGAGACTTTTAAAAATCTTTACAGGAGCTGTAAACCTTATCTTTCTCCCATGGAGCGGCTGGAAGGCTTGATCCGCTAATCTTGTGGCTTGTAGTCCAATTCTGATAGTATGGAGCCACAGTGCTCCCATGATGTGCTTAAGAAGTGCTGTGTTTCATAATCTACTATGCTGTTGTTATTAAGTGCTGTTGAGTTGGGTTCCAACCCATAGTGACCCTGTACAGGGTTTCCAAGGAGCAACTGGTGAGCTTGAATTGCCAACTTTGCAGTTCAAACTGACTTTGCAGTCCAGTGATTAACCCACAGCACCACACCAGGACTCCATAATCTACTATATACATAGTCAAAAAACAAACAAACAAACAAACAAACAAAAATCTTTCTATGGGAAGCATATGTAACACCCTATGGGAAGTTTAAACATTACTGCTTTTTCTGTTTGAATGACTGCCTCTTTGTCTATGTACAGGTTTACCTTGTGCACGATTAAGTTTTTGGAATTCCCATTCTTCATGTTATTCATAATTTGATATAATCTACATAGTCAATGGAATCCTGGTGTGGCACTGTGTGATAATGCACTGGACCTCAAGGGCAGTTTGAACCACAAGATTGGCTGTTAAAATTCACCAGCCACTCCTTGGAAACCCTATACAGGGTTGCTATGAGTCAGAACCAACTTGATGGTACTTAAAAACAACAACGTAGTCAAGTGTCTTTGCATAGTCAATAAAACACAGGTAGACATCTGTCTGATATTCATTGCTTTCAGTCAAGATTCATCCGGCATCAGCAGTATCATGTTTCACATTCTCTTCTGAATGTGGCTTGAATTTCTGGCAGTTCCTGTTGATGCACTGCTACAAGCATTTTTGAAATATCTTCAGCAAAATTTTACTTGTGGGTGATATTAATGGTATCAGTTATGGTGTGAATTAGGGTTGTCTGCTATCACCATATTTATTGAATCTGTATGCTGAGGAAAGAATCCAAGAAACGACTATACCATGAAGAAGAATGTGGCATCAGGATTGGAACTTTGATATGCAGACGACACAATCTGGTTTACTGAGAGTGAAGGGGAGTTGAAGTACTTATTGTTGATATTAAGGACTGCAGCCTCAGTATCGTTTACACCTCAACTTAAAGAAAATAAAAATCTTCACAGGATCAACAAGCAGCATCATAGTAAATGGAGAAAAGGCTTGAATTTTTCATTGTTTTCTTTTTGTTTGGTTCCCCATTCATTCCTTTTGGAGGCGGCGTTCAGGAATTCAACCAGTTTTTGCTTTGGCCAATTTTTTTGCAAAGGCTCTTTTTGAAAAAAACAACAACTTTTCATTGTGAATTGAGAAAAGGTTTACAGAGATTGTCCGTTTTACATTCAACAAATCATACGCTTTGTTTCATCTTAATGACTGCAATGGCCTTCATTGGACAACAGTTATCCTACTTCTTCCCTGTGGTTCCTATTTCCATTCCACCCTCCTTTCCAGCCCTTCTCTATTTTGTCTTTAGTCAGATGCTGCACTTCTGATTTTGAATGATTCACTATTCCATGGTGAGCAAGAGGGTTAGTTCCATTTCAGACCTGAAGGGTGGTTGAGGGCCATAGTCCTGGGTTCCTCCAGTCTCTTTCTGATCAACAAGACCATTTTATTCATTTTTTTAAAAATAATTATGAGTTTGTTCCACATTTTCTGCCACTGTATCTGGAACCTTCTTTTTATCCTGCGTTTCCCCCCCCCCCCCTTTACAAACTTTGTATTGTTTGGTTTCCTCTAAATGATTGCAATCCCTTCCATGCAACAACAGTTATCCCACTTCCTCCCTATTGTTCCTATTTCCATCCCACCCACCTTTCCAATCCCTTCTCAATTTTGTTCTTAGGAAAATGTTTCCCTTAGATGCTCGCTCATGAGCTTTTAAGATTCCAGATGCTACTCAACAAACAAAGTAGGATGTAGAACACTGTCTTCGTGGATTATGTTATACCAATTGACCATGGTGTCCTATCTGGGACTTTCTAATGTGATCCCTCCCTTTCAGAGCAGTTGGTAGTGGTAGCTGGGCACCATCTAGTTCTTCTAGTCTCAGTCATGGTGACTAATGTTCACCTGCTCCATTGGTCTACTGGACCAGCTGATTCCAAGCATCTTCAATTTTCATCACTCTTCTTCTCCACGTGGGGAGTGTGGCTGAGTTGGTTCTGACTCATAGTGACCCTACGTAGGGTTTTCAAAGAGCAGCTGATAAGCTTGAACCACCAACCTTGAAGTTCAAACCAAGCTTATGGTCAAGTGTTTATCCTATGGTGCCATACCAGGACCTTAGATGGCTGCTAATGAGCTTTTAAGATCCCAGACACAACTCATCAAAGTAGGCTATAGAACACTGTCTTTGTGGACTATATTATACGAATTGACTATGGTGTTCCCTGAGACTATGGTCGTGAGCCCCCAGCCCAGCAACTCATTGCCTTAAGATGTATGATAGAATCTAAGAAGTTTTCATCATTTTTCCCACTGTATGCTCCACCACATTCACAGGTGTGTTTGCAGCAAAGGTAAATACCCATGTACACGTGTGCTTTCAAATTCTTCTATATATATGGGTATAATCACATTCTTCCTCCCTCACCTGTTCAGTCTGTGTATCTGTCCATGTATCTACCTGCAGAACACTGTTGTTCAAGTTGTGTAAATAACACTATTTACTTCTATTTCCTTTAACCCCTGCATATGCCCCCTGTATCTTTACCTGTCTTCAGCATTCTACTGCCAACCTACCTCTTATTGCATATTGCCCTCCCCGTCACCCAAGCTAACATGTGTCTACCCTTTCTTCTCTCCCTTTCTTCAAAAGACCTTTTTAAAGTGTTAAAAAGCAAAAATGTCATTTTGAGGACTAAGACGATCTGACCCAGGCCATGGTATTTTCAGTCATCTAATGAGCATGTAAAAGCTGGACAAATGAGTAAGGAAGATGAGAAGAATGGATGCCTTTGAATTATGGTGGTGGAGAAGAGTATTGAATATAACATGGACTGCCAGAAGAATGAACAAATCTGTCTTGGAAGAAGTAAAGCCAGATTGTTCCTTAGAACAATGGAGAAATTTTGTCTCTTTACTTTGGACATGTTATCAGGAGGGGCCAGTCCCTGGAGAAGGACAGAATGCTTTGTAAAGTAGAGGGTCTGTGAAAAAAGAGGAACACCTCCAACAAGATGGATTGACACAGTGACTTCAACAATGGGCTCAAATATAGCAACGACTGTGAGGATAGTGCAGGACTAAGGGATGTTTCATTCTGTTGTACACATGGTTGCTGTGAGTCAGAACCAACTAGATAGTACCTAACAACTTACTGGTCTAAAGAAGTAAGTTACTTCAGAGGGACATGGTTAAAATTCTTTTATTTAAGTACAAAATACAATTAATTCCTTTAAAATGAAACTTTGCTTCTGAGATTCATAGCTTTTATACAGAAAAATCATAATCTAAGTGTTGGCAGGTGTTTTGAATTTGCCTTCCATCTAGTGTGGCGCTGTGGGTTAATGTGCCAGATTGCAAAGCTGTTTGAACTGCAAGGTTGGTGGTTCAAGCCCACCAGCTACTCCTCGGAAACCCTATACAGGGTCGCTATGGGTCAGAATCGACTCAATGACACTTAACAACAACGACAACCCTATTATACTGTATTGTTTGCATATTGTCTCTAATAGTATGTTACTATAAATGTTATAATAGTGTTATAAGACAGTATTTTTCTCTTTCTAATCCCAAGCCATAACAGAGTGATGGTATGTAGTAGGAACTCAAGCAACATCTGATCAATAGATCAAAAGAGGCTTTGGAAACTTTTACAAAAAGAAAAAATTAGGTTACTTTTGCTGCCAAAAGGAGGTAAATTCTAAATTTTGGACAGGATGAACTTGGGTTGAATAAGACTTCCAGGAATAGCACTGAAGTCTAAGTCTTCAGGAATAAGTAGATGCAATGTTGTTGTAGTTAAGTACAGTAGATATATTTAACACTTACATTAATCACATTAGTCACAATATCAATAAGATAGAAATAACCTAAGTGCCCATCAAGGGATGAATGGATGAACAAACAATGGCACATAGAATACAATGTACCATTGAAGAGTAACAATGAATCTGAGAAACACTTCATAACACAGATGAACATAGACATTATTTTGAATGACATAATGACAAAAGGACAAATGTATAAGATCACTACTATAAAAAGCCAAGAAAAGGTTCACTCAAAGAAAGAAACTTTCTTTGAATGCTTCTAGGGGTGGGATGGGAAAAGAGGTTTATCATTATCTAGAAGACTGTTGTTACGTGCCATTGAGTCTGATTTATAGTGAGCATGAGAGCAACAAAATGAAAACACTGCCCAGTCGTGCACCATTCTCACAATTATTTTTAGTCTGACCCCACTGCTGCTGACATTTTGTCAATCCATCTTGTTGTTTGTTTGCTTTCTTTTTTGTTGACCCTCTACTTTACCAAGACCTTCTTCAGGGACTAAAACCAACAACAAGCATTATGATGTCTCAGGAGTCCTAGTGGTGCTGTATGATAAGTATCGGACTATTATCCACAAGGTCAGCAGCTCAAGCCCACCAGCTGTTCTGTGGAAGAAAATGAGGCTTCCTGCTCCTGTATAGGGTTCTCTATGAGTCGGAATGGACTCAATGGCAGTGGGTTTTGTTTGGGTTTTGAAAAATTATGATACCTCAAGAAGTCTTGGTAGTGCAGTGGGTTAAGTGTTGGACTGCTAACGAAAATGTGGGAGGTGCAAACCCACCAACTACTCAGCAGGATTTAGTCTTGAAACTGTAAGGAGCAGTTCTACTCTATTCTACAGGATCACTATGAGTCAGCATCGACTTGTCATGGTATCTACAATTTATTTTCAAATATATGTATGGCTTTTTCCTTCTGTGATTTCCTGAAAATTGTGCCCCACATAGTCTTACTTTACCTTGTTTACAACTATTTGTATATACCCATACTATCCATACGTAGGAGCTACGGTAGTGTAGTGGTTAAGAGTTGGGCTGCTAACCTCAAGGTCAGTATTTCAAAACTACCAGCTGTTCTGCTGGAGAAAGATGAGGCTTTCTGCTCCTGTAAAGATTTACAGCCTCAGAAACCCTATACAGGGTTGTTATGAGTGAGAACCAGCCAACTCCACAGCACATCACCATCCATATGTAGGAGTCTTTAGGTGGTTCAATCGAGCTTGAACGCTAATCAGAATGTTGGAGGATTGTGTCTACCCAAGGCACCTTGGAAGAAAGGCCTGGTGATCTACTTCCAAAAAAATCATCCGTTGAAAACTCTTTGAAGCACAGTTCTACCCTGATACACATGGGGCCACCCTGAGATGGGATCAACTCCATGGCAACTGGTATCCATGTGCATGTCTTTCTCCCTAATTAGACTGTGCAGTATAATTCATATGTCTCGAATACAGTAACTGTTTGTCATTTTTATGTGTATCTTTACCAGAGCCCAGTGCCAAGGCAAAAAAGCATTTTCAAAATAGCAATGCTGACTTTTGAAGGTGAAAACATAGAAAAGATATGATTAAAGAACGGGATAATTACCAACAGAACCTTCTTAGAATTTCCCATTAGGCTACATATTTCAAATTATTTGAAGACTGACAACTCCCATGACTACTCACATGATTGATAAAATATAGTCTGGATGTGAAAATGTCTACATTGTATTATTTTAGAGAGGACATTTGCTTAATTCCAATGAAATGTCTTATATATGAAAGATTGCTGGGGAGAAAAGCTCTCAAAAAAGCAGTGTTAACATCCATGCAAGATCCTTACACACATAAGATCAGGTTTCCTAAAACAAGGGGGGAAAAAATCCCAAAACTTAAAAAATACTTACATTCAGTGGTATTATTTGTAAAATATTTTTGATGGATGGATTTTTGCAAACAGTTTCTTGTATATCTGAAATAAATGTACCATATTATAAAAAGATTTAGTTATGTATACCAAAAGAGAAATGAGTAAACAAACATTTAATTCTAATGTACCAAAATACTCAAAATTAAATGAGGCATTTTTTCTATTGACTCCAGAAATAGTCTTTGTATTAGGTTAGAAAGTAAGAGTAATTTGGTTAGAAACAAATATACAAAAAATTAGGTTGACAAAAGGATTCCTAGTATTTTGAATTTTATATAACCATCTTTACTCAAATGTCAGGTTATCTTTTTCCTCTATCCTTATTTCCTTTCTTTCCTCTTATTTTTCTTCTTTAAATAGAAAATGAATTTCCTCCTTGTGGTCTCCCAGCAAAGTACAAGAAATATTAATTTAAGTTTTGGGCAAGATAAGTGATTTGGTCAATGCTTACTCTATCAATCCTTAAGATTTTGTCTATAGGATAACAAACATCTGGGCAAAAAAAAAATGTAGGCAGAAATTTCCTCCTGAAATATTTAAATATAGGGGTGTGCATCTAATACAAAACAAAAGACAAATTTCAAAATGATTGGCTTGAGTTTTTAATTCTTCATCCTCATAATTTGAATCTTAAATTTACACCCTTAGTTCTATGTTGTTTTTGTGGTGTAATTTGTTGCCTTTTATTAATGTATCATTATCAAACTTAACTTTATAGTAAACATACATAAACTTGTATAAAACATATGCAATATTTCAAATAATAAAAGCTAACATCTGTGCATTCACCTGGACTAAGAAATCTGAACATTATCAGTATATTGAAAGCATCCGGGAGCCTCCTCACAGAGGTAACTCATTATACTAACTTCCGTTTCATTACAGTTTTCACATATATGCATACATCCACAAAAAAATATTGCTTACTTTTGCCTGTTTTTAAATTTCACATTCATGGAATTAATTACACAGTCTTTATTCTCCTGTGACTTTTATGTTTTTACTCAAAATCATACTATTTTCAGTAGCACATGAGAGTTCCTATTGCTATATATCTGTATTAACACTTAATATTTCCAGGCTTTTAAACATATGTATGTAACTACATCTCATTGTTTTAATTTGAATTTCCCTATTACTAATGCAGTGGAGCATCTATCAATGTTTATTGGACATTTGAACTTCTTTTGCTGTGAACTGTCAGATCAAGTCATTTTTGAATTTTTCTACTGGGTTGTTTTTTCCTTATCAATAACAGTTCTTTACATATTTTCAACAAGGTCTTTATTATATAAGGGAATGTCAAAAAGTTCATTACATTATCTTTGAATTCTATTTTTACACACTGTTTCTGAAGCCCCATCGTAAGTTTTATAAATATTTGGATTGTCTTTTCACTCTTTTAATAGTTTTGATATCAAGAGAAGTTCGTAATTCTAAAGAAGCTAAATATATTAATTTCCCCATTACAGATCATGCTCTTTATACTTTACGAAATCTGTCCTTATACTGAGTATATAAAAATGCTTTATTTTTCCTAAATTATTTTCTTTAAAATTTTATGTTTTTATTAAGTGCTGTTGAGTTGGCCTTGACTCATAGTGACCCTGTATAGAGTTTCTGAGGCATGGCGGTGAGTTTGAACAGCTGACTTTGTGGTTCAGACTGTATTTTATCCTACAGTGCTACAGATGTTTTATTTAATACTTACTCTGTAATGCCACCGTAACTGATTTTTATGTGTGTCATTTGGTAGGAGTCCAATTTTATTTCTTTTATTGGTGGACTCATTTATTCCAATATAGGGTTACAAGCCACTTATCTGAAAATGATCCAAGAAGCTCTTTATAGGTTAGCTGACAATGTGCTAGTTGGGATCCAAAAGCAGAACTTAACCAGAAGTTAGGTAGAGCTGTGTCTAAATCCAACTTCTTATGGCATTCATAGCTTATCCCTCCTAGCAAAAAATGCTACAATTTTATACATGGGGATTCTAATGATATGTTTGTTAAATTATTTGATTGTTCCACAACTCCTGAATATATATATATATATATATATATATATTTACCCTCACTCTTTTTTTCTTTGTATTTCAGTCAGATCATTTCTATCTTCCAATTCACTGGCTTTTTTCAGTTGTAAAGTCTACTGATAGAAACATTCTTTCTGCTACAGTGTTTTTATTTTGCAAATCTTCATCATACTGTTTCTTATAGTTTCCATCTCTGCTGAAATTCCCAGACTGTTCATGCATGCTGTCTACCTTTCCAGTGTTAACCTTTAACATAGTTAAATATAAGTCATAGTTTAACATAGTCATAATTATTTTAGATGACCTGTCTGATAGTTGCAGCAGTTTGGTATCTCTATGTGTCATTCTGTTGACTGATTTGTTGCCACAACAGTAGGTGTTTTGTTTTCCTTCTCTTATGTTTCTGTGTGTCTTATAATATTAACTGGATGCTAGACATCATGTTAAAGTAATAGATATTTAGGTAAAACAATTTTTGTGTCTAGAAATGGACATGCTTCTCTGCTAGGGAGTCTTAGCCAGAGGTGGATTTTGCCACCCAGGGAGCATTTGAGCCCTGCTATGACGCTGTGGAGTCCTGCTATGGGAGTCCTGGTGTGGCACTGTGGGTTAATGCACCAGACTGCAGAGCCGTTTGAACTGCAAGGTCAGGGGTTCAAGCTTATCAGCTGCTCCTCAGAAACCCTATACAGAGTTTCTATGGGTCGGAATAGACTCGATGGCACTTAACAACAACAACAATGGTGCTGCAGGATAAACACTAGATTGGTAACCACAAGGTCGGCAGTTTAAACCCACCAGTTTCTTCTAGTAACAGGGTTGCTATGAGTTGGAACCAACAATGGCACATGCAACAACAAAAGAGGACATCGGGAAATATCTTTAAATTGTCCTGACTGGGAGATACAATGGCATTTCTTGAGCAGAGGTCAGGAATGCTGCTAAACATCTTACAATGCACAGGACAGCCTTCCCATCAACAAAAATTATCTGGTTCAAAATGTTTATAGTGCTAAGAATGAGGAGTACTGGTGTGGTGCTGTTAGATAAGCATTGAACTGTTAACTGTAAGGTCAGCGGTTCAAACCTACCTTCAGTTGCTTCTGAGAAACAGTACACAGGGTTTCTATGAATCAAAACTAACTTAACAGCACTTAACAACAACATCATCAACAAAAATCTGATGTTTAAACCATTTGCTGATTTTTAATTACAATGACCATGTTTTCCATTTTTGAGAGTTCTATTTTCTTTTTTTTTTTCTAGGTCATTCTTTATTATTCCTTAATCTCTGAGTATATTTTAAAGCTTATTTCTGATTACTTTTAAATTATAAATAAAGTTAAAGTAATCGGGAATAAATGTGAATGGTAATTTTATTATCTAAAATCCTTGTAGATGTCTTTCTTTATGCTCTCTTATGGTTTCTTCTCATTTTTTTTTTCCATAGTAAATTTTCTATTCTTTATGTGCTTTGGCATTATTTATTTATTTTTACTGTGGGATGTTCATTTTCCTTGGATTTTATTTATCATAATTTGTTGAGATCTGGAATATAGGTAGGTTTCCCTGGAGAGATATGAATTTACTTTTTGCATAGTATTTTGGGGGTATTACCAAGTATTGGGATGATTCTAAATTAAATAATTGGCTTGAAGTTTTCAGTACCACTAGATAGTGTGAATAAACCCAATTCAATTCCAACTCAAAGCAACATTATTAACTGTCCTATAAGGCTTCCAAGGGTGTAATCTTTGTGGAAGCAGACTATACGTCTTTCTCTAGCAGAGTAGCTGCCTACATTTTGATTTGCAGTCAAGTGTTTAACCTCTTGCCACCAAGTCTCCTTAATGTGAAACAGGCTATAAATTAATGTGGTCATTAGATAAGACAATAGTTCCAAATTCTCATAGGTGATTTCCCCCCTCATCTGGTCAGTACTGAAGTTTGAGATATGCAAACATTTTCAGTTTTATGTGTTTATGCATATATGTGTATAGCTCTTTGTGATGGGTAGATTGTCTATGAGACTGTTACTCATTTTGGTTTTGTCCTCTGTTTCCCTTATCTGCGAGACCATAAAAAACAAAGCTCAAATTTCACTCTGGGTTAAATGTCCTCAGTATAAAAGCTAGATATATTGTTCTTAATTTTCAGTTCCTAGCTATATTCAGTTCCTAGTTTAAGAATTCTTTGCATTCTGAATAGCTTATTACTATATTTGTTTAAAAACTTATTCAAAATTTTGGTTGTTTTTGATGGATAATTAATCCAGATACTTGTTGTTGTTGTCAGGTGCCATCGAGTCGGAACCGACTATACTTAGTCTGTTATATTGTTGAAATACAAGTATTTGTATATTCCATTTAGTCTATGGAAGAAATTGTTTTTATATAAATTGGATGAGTATGATATACTTAAAGAGTATGGTATATTCAAATATATTCTGAATCATTATTTCCTCGATAACCCAGATGACTTATGTAAATACAAAACATGGTATTTCTTATAAAAGGTTTTCTTCAATACTTACAATGTAGTCTTTCATTGAGATGATTAAGAGACTGTAGGATCTTCCGTTCTTCAGTGGATAATTCACAGACGTTGAGTCTCTGAGTATTTTTTAAAGCCATATTTGGTTTCTTTAACTGTTTGCTATTCATTACAGTTAAAATTTCATCCTCAGGAACTGAAGATTTAACTAAGTTTTCAGCCATCAAAAACTCAGAAGTACTTTCTGAAACTATAGAAACTTTAATTACTCTCTATTACTTTTCATTCTGGGATCAGCCTTCATATATACTTAAATGCCTAATGTATATATGGACTCATTTTCCAAAGACAAACCCAGCAAATATTCTGTTATTTTATATTTTATTTATCAGGATCTTTTATGTCTACCTCTTTTTCATCTTTAATTAAAAAAATGTTATTCAAAATGATGATAATAAAACTTCGGCATGTTAACTTGAACTAAATAAAAAAATACATTATGTTCAGATTATTTTTGTGATGTATTTTTGTAATTGATTGGTGATATAATGAAGTAGATTGCATCTATAATAACTTATGTAGGAAAGAGTAACAAAAAGGAATTTAGGGGAAAATTATATAATTAGATGATCAGTTAAGTAGAACCTACTCTAGAAACAGAACCAAGTAGATGGAAAAAACTTGACTTATGATAAAGAAGCATCAATGAGTTATAAGAAGGGAAAGATGACTCAATAAATCATTTAACTGTTTCTAAAAGAATCGATTTTGGGTCTCACTTCATATCATCCATGTAAAGTAAATTTACAAGAAATTAAACAATTAAATTTTAGGAAGTGAACTATAAAAGTAACCTAAAGGGACAAGGAATAAACACTTATCTAATTTCTTGAATGTGGAAGATTTTCTAAATTTAAGAATACTGGAAAAAGATTGAAAATATATTTATTTAAGGACAGTATTTTCTTATGGGCTTTAAGAAAAAGACTTTTGTTTGTTTTTTTCCATTATTGTATGGCCAGCACCTAGTTTCAGGCAGACTATTAAGCACCTAGTATCAGGCAGACTGTTGGCTCTCAGTAATGATTTATTGGATGAACATAAAAATTAAGACTTTTATATGTAAAAATACACTGTAAGTGGAAAAAAATAAAACTAATAAATAGTGATAATACTTGAAAAGAATTCAGGATTAGAATCTTAGCTACTTAAATAAATCACAGAAATTAATAGTAAAATGTTGTTGTGTTGTTATGTGCCGTCGAGTCAGTTCCGACCCATAGCAATCCTGAACAGGGTTTCTGAGGCTGTAAATCTTTATGGGAGCAGAAAGCCTCATCTCTCTCCCGTGGAGCAGCTGGTGTTTCGAACTGCTGACTTTGCGGTTCGCAGCCCGATTCATAACCACTACGCTACCAGAGCTCCTAATAGTAAAATACTGCTACTAAAATTGTTAAATAGAAAAATATGAAAATGATATATAAAAAATAAACAGAAAAGTATTTTAATGAAAGAAAAATAAGATATAACTAATAAAACACCTTTTTAAAATCTACTTCAACTTGGCATACAACTCTAGAAGAATTTTGAATGATAATAATTTTTAGGAAAATACTTTATATGACTAACTTTAACAATGCTCAGTACACAGGGTTTCAATCAACAAATATTTAAAAACAAACAAACTAAACTCATTGCTGTCAATTCCAACTCATAATAACACTATACATCAGAGTAGAACTGCCATAGCATTTCCAAGACTAAATCTTTATAGAAGCACATGGCCACATCTTTTGCCCATGGAGTGTCTGGTGAGTCCAAATCACCAACTTTTTGGCTAGTAGTCGAGTGCTCACAACTGTACCATCAAGTTTCCACTAACAAATACTTTTGGGTGCCAGTTATCTGGCAGGTACTATAATTTTACTTTTAGAAGTCTAATGAAGTAGCTGAAAAGTAAACAAATTCTTTACATAGAATGATGCTAAAATTATTATTTAGAACAAAGGAAAAGTGATATCTTCAATGTGCAGTGGTGAGCAGAGTTCATATTCTTAAGGTGGTTTAACAGTCATATAATACATAAAAGTACATGGGAAAACAGATACAAGAAAAAAACAGCAACCCCTGGAAATAAAGCTTAGACAGAGGGAAAGATTAAAGTAAAACGTACCTTCTTCAATATTAGAAGCACCCCTTCTAGTTTGTTTTGGGTCACTTGAATTTAACTGGAGATTTTGCTCAAAATTCTACAAAATTAGAACCAGAACATATTTATAATTCATGATATAGAAATTTAATTTAAACCCGTATTTGAAATTAATAATATATGTACTGACTTAAAAAAATTAAAAATTATCTATCTATCTATCTATCTATCTATCTATCTATCTATCTATCTATCTATCTATCTATTTTGACATCATTGTCCATGTGTATACTTTCTCTTTTGGAGCATAAATGATGACTTACATGGCCTTTCCATGGTATCTGAATATTTTAATGTTTTAATAAACATTTTCAAGTTGAGCTTTCTAGAATATTTGGAAGTAGAAAAGTCAGTTAGTTGACAATCAAAAGTGCTAAGTAAAGGAAAAGTAAAAAAAAAAAAAAATTAAAAATTGCCTTAAGGCAATGATAAAGGTAAATTACTACTACTTAGATATTATAAGTAAAGACAAGGATAGGTAAACATCATAGATGACAAGGACTTGGAAAATAAATGGTTGCCTCAATACTGCATTTATTGTTGTTGTTGTGAAGTGCCATGGAGTTGGTTCCAACCCATAGTGACCCTGCGTAGGGTTTCCAAGGAGCAGCTGGTGAGCTTGAACCTCTGACCTTGCAGTTCAAATGGTTTTGCAGTCTGACGCATTAGACCACAGAACCACACTAGAACTCCCAATACTGCATAGAACAGGGAAAAGGAAAATCTGCAGTTTGGCAATAAGCATACCTATCTCTCACTCCCTGGGAAATACTGACGTTCCTTTTTTGGATATGATCTACTTTCTTCCTTTACAAAACTCCATTCTGTTCCATTTTAAGAAATAACTGTTTCCTCAGATAAAACTGCCTGACAATGCCTATACTTAGTCTTTGCTCTAGTGAGATCTGATGAGTAACTGATGCAGGTCTTTGCAAGGGCCCTCCTTCCATAGCTCTCATAGCTTTATCTGATTGCCACTGTACATTTGAGAACTCTTGTACTGTAACCATATCACACAGTGATATGGTTATGCTTTTTCATACCTTTCATTAGATTCTACCCACATACAAGTGGTAGATTAAGAAAAAATCATTATAAAATATATTCCCCAGTAAAATCTGACAAGGAGCCATTGCTATAGTTAATGGAACCTTGCTTAGGCTCTGGAATTCAAAAAATAAAACAAAACAATAGGGATGAAAGTCTAAAATACAAAACTTGATTTGATTCAGGAAGACTAATCTACCCTAAGGTTAACAAAACTTTGGAAGAAGTACAAGTGAAAGATGTGTATTGGAAAGAGGAATGGCAACTGCTGGAAAGAAGGACAAAAATGGACTATACAGACAGAAAGATAGAATGCAAAAGACTATGACACAGAAGAATAGAACTAGACCTGGAAAAATAAAGAGGGATTAGAAAGGGAACTAATAGCAAATATTTAAATTTTTGTCCATTCATTTTCTTTAATATAATAACTACACAGTCCTCTTAAATTTAGAATATGTTAATTAAAATAATGCAAAAATAAAGGCTAGAAATGAAAACCTTTTACAGATTCTGAGATATTTGATGGGAACAATATGGAATTAAAAAAATGGACTCATTAGAAATTATTGTTCTTATAACCAAGAATCTATGTTTTAACTAGTTAAAAACAAAAATCCTCACAACCACAATAAGCAACATCATGGTCAATAAAGAAAATACTGACGTTGTCAAGGATTTAATTTTACTTGGATCTACAATCAATGCTCATGGAAGCAGCAGTCAAGAAATCAAATGACATATTGTATTGGGCAAATCTGTACTGTAAAACATTTAAACTTTAAAGTGTTAAAAAGCAAAGATGTCACTTTGAGGACTAAGTTTTGTCTGACCCAACACCTAGTAATTTTTATTACCTCATATGCATGTGAAAGCAGGAGAATGAATAAGGAAGATGGAAGAAAAACTGTGGTTTTGAAAACTATTGCTTATACCATGGACTGCCAGAAGAACGAACAAATCTATCTTGGAAGATGTATAGTCAAAATACTCCTTAGAAGCAAGGATGATGAGACTTCATCTCATACACTTTGGAAACATAATCAGGAGGGACCAGCCCCTGAAGAAGGATACCATGTTTAGGAAAGTAGAGGGTCAGTGAAAAAGAGGAATGCCCTCAGTGAGCTGGACTGACACAGTGGCTTCAACAATGGGCTCAAAGAGCAATGGTGCAAGATCAGGCAATGTTTCATTGAGTTGTACATAAGAGTCGCTATGAACCAACTTGACACCACCTAACAACAATTAAGTATTATGTCTGCTATTAAATAATAAGAATATATTGGTAACGGGACTAATTTTATTTGCATAAATAACTAAATGACTTTTTAAAAAAGTTTTTATTGTGAGTTGAGTGAACGTTTACAGGGCAGATTATCAGTTATACTTTCAACAAATCATACACCTTGTTTCATTACAATGGTTATAATCCCCTCCATATACCATCTGTTAACAGTATTTTTCTCTATTCATTTTTTTTTTAAACCCTCAGGCATATATAATAATTTATACCACCAAAGGGAACATTCTCCAAGTCTGCCTCCTAGCCGCCAGCTCTCAATCCCTCTCTTTCCATGAATCTAGAGTTCTCAGCTGCTCCCTCTCTCTATGTCCCTATCTCTGCTTGCACTTCTGGTGTCGGTGCTTCTCTGGATAAGGTCTTGCATTCTGCTTGTGCTCCTCTCCCTTGATGGTTCTAGGGTTCTCTGTTTCTGGACTGTAAGATTAACTACTCCTCCATTTTTGTTACAAAACTTCTATCTTTACAGTTGTGACAGTTGCAATTAGTCATGATAACAATTACTCACTATTGAATCGTAAGAATCTTATCCCCAACTCTTTTTACCAGACCCATCTAGACAAGATGAAAACTATTCAGTGGTGACTCTATCTTCCCCCACATAATCTTAAACTAAATTTCCTCTTGAAAACTTGTAAGTCAGTCACTTTGTGCCTTTATTCCCACCTCATTTTAGGTTGTCAATGGCTAGTTGCCCATCCCTATCTACCCTGTATACAGAGGGGATAGGATTGATATTTGATGTGAAGACTCCTTCCTTCTCTGATGGTATTTAGTTACTACCTCCCTGAGCATAGGGCAAGATCATCAAGTTGTAGCAATTTACACTAGTTTCCTCTATCAAAAACTTTTATTATTAATTTTTTTTTAATCTTTCTGTAGTCAAGTTCTGATTATCACGCCATCGAGGCTAGGTCAAATGGGTACTATGTGCAACTTTGGGTGTTCTTGTGCATCCCCCCTCACTTCATATCAGCTGGATGCTTCACTTTCACCTCTAGCCTCTGTGGCTATGTCCTTGTCCATGGGCTCAGGTGTCCTCGGGTCTTACCACACTTTAGACCAACCAGCCCTTCCACTTCTCTTTCTTATCTCCAGGTCAATGGGAGTCTATGGAACATGATTGAACTCAGCCCATTTCTTCATTGCTGCCTTCCCCCTCTTCCACTCACTAGTAGACCAATGTGGTTGTCAGCAAGCTTATATGCCTGCTTATGCATTCCCTTTGAGTTTCAGTCTTAGAGGGGGTTTTGTCCTGCAGTGACTTGATTGCTTGCCTACTGATTGCTTGCTTACTGATGTACTGCCATTTTTGTTTTGGGTTTTTCCTGATGATCTTTATCTTCTGTCACTCTAACTGTTCCAGGCTGGTCTGCTTGTCCTTTCTAGTGGGAATGTTACACCTCAGAAGCTTCTGGATGGGGCTCAGGATTCCACCTAAGGTCCTATACACTGCAAAGGCTCCGCAAGAGGCCTATTTCACTAGGCAAGTTCTAGAACTCCTTTTAAGTATTCCAATCAGTTATAGGCTGAAGATGGGCTTTACAAACTTTCTGGAATCATGTTTCCTGATATTCTTTTCTATCCCGTTCAAGTGTCTATTTTACAATAGTAGGCATGGGAAGCCAATATTCATAAGACAGTCAAGTATCTTTGTATGATGTCCCCTCTTCAGACTATGCCTAGATCCCTGTATCACAGAGCCCTGTTGTTCCAAGGTTGTGCATGCATCACTTTTTATTTCTGTCCCATATAGCTCATGCAAACCTGTCTGTGTTCACCTATCTCTCTTGTTCTTCCACTTCTCCCCCAACTAAATGACCTTTGTTTTGCTGATCATAATCATCAGATTTAGTGATTAGACAACCTAATCAACATTAGCTTGATTGTTCTCCATATTAACATCCTTATCTCTACAAAAACCAGTTGTTCCTATATATATGTAAATAATATAATTCTATTACTTGAAATACAAAATTCTACATAAGGCACCTGTGTTATAATGAATTATTTAATGTCTGTTCTAGCCATAAGGAGCTTTGGTAGCATAGTGGTTATGAATTGGGCTGCAAACCACAAAGTCAGTAGTTCAAAACTACCAGCTGTTCCACAGGAGAAAGATGAGGCTTTCTGCTCCCATAAAGATTTACAGGGTCCCTATGAGTTGGAATCAACTCCATGGCACATAACAACAACAACAACATTCTAGCCATGGTGGTGGTAATTTTGTGCTGAGAAGTCATTTCCAACTCAAGTGACACTGTATAGGGTTTCTGAGGCTGTAAATCTTTAAAGGCTCAGAATGCCTCATCTTTCTCTCACAGAGTAGCTGGTAGATTCGAACTGCTGATCTAGTGGTTAACAGCCCAACTCATAACCCACTATACAACCAGAGCTCCTTTCTTCTAGCCATATTGTAAACTCTCACCAAACAAACAGGGGGTGGGTAGAGATGCTGATGGATTATATTATTTACTTGTGAGTGACTGTTAATCAGACTATGATTGTAAATGCTTGGAAATCTAATGAGGGGGGTTGGTCAGTATCACCATCCTGCTGAGTTTAAAATGAGCCATCTCAGAAGTGTGTGTGTGTGGCTGATTCTCACTACTATCAAAGAAATGCAAGGAGTGGAGCACGTCTTTTGAACCATGAGATACCTGTGCATTGAATCTCCTTGACTCAGGGACAGAAAGCTGTGGCACTGGAGGAGAAGAAAAGGAGTGTGGGAGGAGCAGCATCAATAGAACTATGAGTCAGAGCATGAGACAATAGTGGTGGGCATCACAGTCCCAGAGAACAAATAAAGATGAGTGACTTTAGACAGGAGGCTTGCTTTAGAATGGGAGGCCTCAAGGTACTTGATTGGTGATGTTGGAGCTAGAGCCAAGTGCTTTCAGGATGAGGTTGATGATAGAGTAGTGTGCCCTGTGGCATTTATCAGCGACCTTAAAAGAGTTTAGTAACTTTGACCTGACAGAGAGAGTGGGCAAGGCTGAGGAGAGGCTGTCCTGACCCAAACAACTGTGCCCTGAGCATTTCTTGTTTTGTTTGTTTGTTTTTAAAAGCTTTTATTATGAACTGAGTGATAGTTTACATGGCAGAACATCAGTTTTGCACTCAACCAATAGTATCTTGTTTCATTGTAATGATTACAATCTCCACCATGCGCCATCAGTTAACAGTATTTGTCTCCATTCCGTCTTTTTTTTTTTTTTGATGTACACAAAAACACGCAGGAATATATAATCACTTAAACAATCAAAGGGCACATTTTGCAAACCAGTCCACTGCCCGTCAGCCTTTCTCTTTCCATGAGTCAGAGTCCTCAGCTGCTCTATCACTCCATGCCATCACTTCTGCCTCCATCTCTGGTGCTGCTGCTTTTCTAGTTAGGATCCCATGTTCTGCTCATGCTTTTTCCTCTTGTTGGTCCTAGGGTCCTCTGTTCCTGGAATGTAAGATTAAATACTCCCCCCTTTTTGTCATGCAACTTCTATCTTTACACTTGTGACAATCAATCACAATTAGTCATGATAACCATTAATCACTATTGAATCAAAAGAATCTTATCCCCATCTCCTTTCACCAGACCCATCTAGACAAGATGAAAACAATTCCCCTACTTGCTCTGAAACTAAACTCCCTCTTGAAAACTTGTAAGCCAGCCACTTTATGCCTTTATAGTCTACCATTTTAGGTAGATAATGTCTATGTTGCCTGTCCCTATCAACCCTATGTAGTGAGGGGATAGGCTTGATCCTTGATTTGAAGACTCCTTCCCTCACAGTTGGTATTTTGAGCTACTACATCTATAAGTAAAAGTCAGGTTGATCAAATTATAGTAAATTACACTTGTGTCCTGTATCAAACGACTTTATCTTCTTTAGTCGAGTTCTGATCATCCAGCCACTGAAGCTAGGTCAAATGTGTATGACCTTCAAGATTGGGCATTCTTGTGCATCTCCCCCCCCCCACTTCATATTAGTTGGATGGTTCACTCTCAGCTCTAGTACCCAGTGGCTAAGAGCCTGAGAATTTCTGACCCTGAAATGTAACCTGTTAACTTCTGTAATAAACCTCACAACTGTGAATATGGTGTCTGAATTTTGAGTGTCCATTTGCAGAGTTATTGAATTCAGTTGAGTAGAGAATGTGGTGGGAGGGATGTTTGCTTCATTTTGTTGCAGCACCCTATTCCAGTTCTATTTTTCAGAAAATCAGAAGACATGGTATTTAAAGTGGAAGCTCCAAGTGAAGTACTATTCACACTTCCATCCATTTTTTAGTATTCTAAATTCAATCTCGGATCAAGTTAGATCTCTACAAAATAGCTTTTGCCACTGAGGTTCTAGGACTGCTTCTCAAATAGCTTTGATTACGGTTGATTTATAGTTAAGCTATGTATGCAGTTATATCAACAATTACTGAATTACTGCCACTGATTTTCTAATTTATGTTATTATACTTCTGGATTTTATTGACAATCCCTGTTTCCACACAGCCAGATGAAACTCTTTATTCACCTGTCATTGTACCATCATTAAAAACACTGTACTGGTCTAGTGCTGTGGGTTAATGCATGGACTGCAAAGTTGGTTTGAACTGCATGGTCGGTGGTTCAAGCTCACCAGCCACTGCTCAGAAACCCTATACAGGGTTGCTATGGGCCAGAACCAACTCAACTGCACTTAACAACAACTTTTATTAAAGACAGAGTCCTTTATGTAACATCTAAGTGGGAACTGTCTTTTAAAATAATTTACCACAAAAAATATCATCATTATAAATATTCCTTTAAAATGATATAACTTATTCTACTTTGATTTATGCCATGTCTTCCAGGAAGCTTAAATCCCAATAAGATATTCAATTAATGGGACTACATTAGTCTTTATGATTAGCACACATACTCCATCTAGTCACAGTTCTAGTCTACTGTCGGTCCTTTCTTGAAGTTTTTTCCAAACGTATACTTAAAAACCGGTTAAATTCTGTTGTGAATGACAACTTTTTCCCAGAAGATTTGATTAAAAAAGCAAATAAAAAACATCATAATGATAATTTCTTAAAGTTGGTTAAAACTTTCCTTATCATTTACAGCACAGTTTTTCCTTGAAGAACATTCTGCTTTCCAGGCAATTGTTCACTAATAAATAAGAGAATTTTAACATAGTACTTACATGCATTTTCTCACTGTACGTCTGTCCTAGATATCCAGTATTTTGTCTTTTCTGATCTAATAGACCTTTCTGTTTATTTTCAACAATTTGTTTTCTTCTTGTAACAGCAGAATCTTAAACAAATGCCAACACAATATAAAAAAATTATACAAATTAAAGAGATCACATATATTCACTGTAAAATTATTTTCAAACATCAGAGAAAACTCTCTACATTTCATTCATTTGGTAAGCACTGGACTGCTAACCATAAGGTTGGCAGTTCAAATCCACCAGCCGCTCCTTGGAAACCCTATACAGGGTCACTATCAGTCAGAACCTATACAATGGCACTTAACAACAACAGTATGCACTGTTTTTGGCACATTATAATCATGTGTTAAGTTCTTGCTTCTGAGGAGTTTTAGTTTAGAAGTGCCAGGGGGATATGTAAGATAACCTATTGATATGCAGGAAGAACATGTTACAATTGTGGGTTAATGCGCCAGACTGCAAAGCCCTTTGAACTGCAAGGTCAGTGGTTCAAACTCACCATTGGCTCCTTGGAAACCCTATACAGGGTCGCTATGGGTCAGAATCAACTCAACGGCACTTCACAATAACAACAACAACAATACTTTACTCTGGAGTCCTGGTGTGCCGCTGTGGGTTAATGCACCAGACTGCAAAGTCATTTGAATCACAAGGTCCGCGGTCCAAGCTCACCAGTCACTCCTTGGAAGCCCTATACAGGGTCGGTATGGGTCGGAATTGACTAGAGGGCACTTAACAACAACAATACTTTACTCTAAGGAGCTCTGGTAGCATAGTGGTTACAAGTTGGGCTGCTAACCTCAAGTTCAGCAGTTTGAAACTACTAGCTGTTCCATGGGAGAAAGATAAGGCATTCTGCTTCTGTAAAGATTTACAGCCTCAGAAACCCTATGCAGGGTTGTTACATGGTCGCCATGAGTCGGAATTGACTCCATGGTTCACCACTACCACCACAATACTTTACTTCTGTTGTGGAGTTGTAGGATAAGCACTGGACTGCAAGGTCGCTCTTAAGTCAGAAGGACTCCAACAACAGTAATACTTGTGCAAATATGGTTTATAAGGCAGGTGGCCCTGTATTGCATGCAGTAAATAAAGTTATCTTGAGGTAAGAGTAGAGGTTCCAGAGTGAGAGAGGCTGGCAGTGGAATCCTCATTCATTACTGCTCTTTATCTTCCTGGTGTGGTGCTGTAGCATCAGCACTGGACTGCAAACCACAAGGTCAGCAGTTCAAACCCACCAGCTTCTCCTTGGAAACCCTATATAGGGTCACCATGAGTCCGAACCAACTCGATGGCACTTAATAGCAACAGCTTCATGAAATGTACTAAAATTTATGAGTGCCTGATAAGTGGATTATGGATATCCTGTAGCAGCTAAATGATTCCTCATAGAACAGGAAAGTAGCTGAAAAAGACTTTTGTAGGGCTTTATCACATGCTTTACTACTTAAGGTATATGGGAAGTACAAGGATGCTTATTAAGTACTTTTCTATGCTTTTTATATGACTAAAATATATTCTTGCAAAATTCAGAGCAAAGATAATACTACTAATGCAAATACAGGTGAATAAGAAAATGGCTAAGCTAATTCATGTCTTATCCTCACTACAAACTCTGCCAAACAACGTAGTAAGGAAGCTTGGATGAGATAGAAAGGTAAATGGTTAACAGCAGGAGAAAACTGGTTCCAGTCAAGGAGTTACTGGAGTTGCATTGCTCATATTGCAGGGTTGATGACAGCAATTGATACAATTAAAGAGAAATAGAGGTTGTTACAAAATTATTAAAGAGAAGGCAACTGATGGAGCAGAGTTGTCTGAAGTTGTTGGGAGGGCATGGGTTCTAGACACATAGAGGAATCAGCCAGAAACAGAGGAAAGACTGCTTCATTCTCTGAGTCTTAAAAGAGAAGGTTGAGAATAAACATGTTTTTGTACAGTGAAATTTGTATTGGAAAAATAATGGGAAGGAAGTAGAAAATGGATTTTAATTTGTTGTTGTCTCTGCTGAACCTGGTTGTTTATAAAGACTTCAGATTAGCAAATCTTTGTATAATTTTGGAATTGATTGAAAGGCTCCCCCATTTTTCACTTTCTGACGTTAAAGAATATTTTTAATAGAATTTATTTTTTATAGCAATTTTATGTTTACAGAAAAATCTTGCAGAAAGTAGTTTCCATATACTGTCCCCTCTCTCGGGCATATTCTTTCTCCTATTACTAGCATCTTGCATCCCTGGTACATTTGTTACAATTGATAAACCAATACTGTTAAGTGCCTGTGAGTCAATTTAGACTCATAGTGACCCTGTATAGTTTCTGAGGAGTGGTTTATGGGTTTGAACCGTCAACCTTGTGTTAAGCAGTTCAGCACAATACCAGCACTCCAAACCAATATTATATTATTATTAACTGAAGTCTATAGTTCACAATTTATGCTCTACAATCCTATGGATTTTGACAAATGCATGTTATGTGTCTATCATTATAGTATCATATAGAATAGTTTAATCCCTTCCCCCTTCTATCCCTAATCTTTTTACTGTCTTTAAAATTTTGCTGTTGTCACAATGTTATACAGTTGGAACCATATAAAGTGTAGTTTTTCCAGATTGTTTTCTTTCACTTAGCAACATGTATTTAGAGTTCCTCCATGTCTCTTTATGACTCAATAGCTCATTGCTTTTAATATTTCATTGTATGAGTGAAACAGTTTAATAATTCACCAATTGAAGGACACTTTGGTTGCTTCCAATGTTTGGCAATTATGAATAAAGAACAAATTATGAATACATTATTTGCATGTGGGTTTTTATGTGCACATAGAATTTCACCTCTATAAGTGAATATGTAGCAGCATAATTGCTGTATTGTATGGTAAAGTTATGCTTAGCTTTAAAAGAAACTGTCAGAATGTCTTTCAAAGTGTAGGTACCATTCTAAATTCACAATAGGTGTGAATGAGATTTCCTGTTTCTCCACATCCTTGTCAGTAGTTGGTATTGCCAGTGTTTTGAATTTTAGTCATTCTAATAGATGTGTGAAGGAGCTCTGGTAGCTAGTGGTTACGAATTGGGCTGTGAACTGCAAGGTCAGCAGTTCGAAACTATCAGCTGTTCTGCAGGAGAAAGAGGAGGCTTTCTGCTCCCGTAAAGATTTACAGCCTCGGAAACCCTGTACAGGGTTGCTATGAGTCGGAACCGACTCCACGGCACATAACCACTACAAATAGATGTGTGAAGTCCCTGAGTGGTGCCAACAGTTAAATCATTCAGCTGCTAACCAAAAGATTGGGGTTTGAGCCTATTTTAAGTGTATCAGAAGAAAGGTCTGATGATTTACTTCTGGAAAATCAGCCACTGAAAATCTTATGGAGGTGAGTTCTACTCTGACACACATGAATCAATCAACTCAAGGGCAAGTGGCTAATAGATGTGCAAAGGTATTTTTTGTTTTTTGAGTTTATATCTTTAATTGTATTAGACACAAAAGAACAGAGAGAATGAATCTACTTGTCTTCCTTTTCTGTATGGTAAGTGTGGGGTACAGGACCCAGCTTTATTCAGAGTAAGGTGGTCTTTGCTCTTGGTTTATATGAAATAACCCTTGGAGTAATTGAGTGCCTTTGTTTGGATTTCCAGACCACACAAGATGATTTGTGTTAGTGAGGGGATGGCTAGAGCAGAAAAGATTCACTCAGGAGGGGAATGTCAACTAGCCTCAGGAGGCATGATTTTGTCTATCACAAAGTCCTTGTGTTGCGCTGTGGGATAACGCACTGGACTGCAAGGTCAGTACGAACCACAAAGTTGGCGACTCAAATTCACCAACGGCTTCTTGGATACCCAATATAGGGTATATCTAAGCAGCGGCTGGTGACAGCATGTAACAACAATAACAACAGGACTGGCCAATAAAAACCTGGATCCCTAAGGCTCTGATAACTTCCTGATGGGCAAAGGGCAGATGCAGTGTCTCTCAGCCACAGCAGCTACACCTTAGGAACCGTCCTCCTTCATGCATCTTTTCCTTATGATGATTTGGATTTATATCCTTTTACTATAATGAACCGGAGTCCTGGTGTGGTGTGATGGGTTAATGTGCCAGACTGCAAAGCTGTCTGAACTGCAAGCTTGGTGGTTCAAGCTCACCAGCTGCTCCTCGGAAACCCTATACAGGGTCATTGTGGGTGAGAATGGACTCTATGGCACTTAAACTATGGCACAACAACTATAATGAACCACTATGCTACCAGAGCTCTGGTGTGGTGCTGTGGGTTAATGTACTGGATGGCAAAGTTGGTTTGAACCACAAGGTCAGCAGTTCAAGCTCACTAGTAGCTCCTATGAAACCCTATGCAGGGATGCTATGAGTTGGAACTGACCTGATGGCACTTCATGACAACAACAATTATCATAAAACCAGGGTGGTGGTGATGGTTGTGTGCTGCAGAGTCGATTCTGACTCTAATGACCCAGTATAGTGGGTGGGGAATGTCTGGCCCACAGGCCGTATGCTGTTGTTGTTATTAAGTGCCATCAACTGGTTCAGACTCATAGCTACCCTGTACAAAGTTTGAAACCATTTTGGTCTGGCCCTGCCAAGGCAACCACGGTTCCATCACATTAGGGAAGAGTTAATTAAATGGTTGACCAAATATGTAGTAGGCTAAGTTTTAAGTTAATTTTGTATGGCCCATGAATGTTGTTATAAATATCCAAATGGCCCTGGGCAAAAAAAGAAAAAAAAAAAAAAAAAAAAAAAGGGTTCCCACCCCTGTTGAGTCCTGGTGTGATGCTGTAGGATAAGCACTGGACCATGAGGTCAGCATTTCAAACTCACCAACTGCTCCTTGGAAAACCTATATAGGGTCACTATGAGAACTCACTCGATGACACTTTACAACAATCCCTGTTGTACAGGGTTTCTGAGGCTGTAAATCCTTACCATAGAAGAAAGACTCATCTTTGTTCTGAAGAGTGGCTGATAGACTTGAACTGCTGACCTTGCAATTAGAAGCCCAACTTGTAACACATTACACTACCAGAGCTCCTTAATAAAACCAGTAATAAGTATA